GAAGAATGCTGATTTAGCATATTCTGTTGTGAGCCAGTTGCGATGCCGCCTTTCATTTTGTTTGCTTCGGTGGTGCATCACCTGCACACCTGCGAGGCTCTCGGACGTTTGAATGCAGAGTACGGGGCAGTTGTGACTTTTTGAGCTCTGCAAATTTTCAAGCCCAACCGGCACTAGGCCGGTCTGGAGGTAGCTAGGTAGGCATAACAGGCCCCTTGATGTGACAATGTCGTCGGAGGAGTCACCCACCGCACCAGCAGATTAGACCTTGCTGTGATGGACAATCAGGAGATCCGGCATCTCGCCAAGAGTCACAGACTGGAACACTCGGGACTTTCCCGTACCCAGATAGTCAAGCTTCTTCGCGACAAAGGTATTGGTTCGTCGACAAACTCAGCAGGTCAGTCTGACAAGGTGCGCGATGTTGTTCAGCAGGCATTGGCCGATATTGCAAAAAATGTTAAAGAATTGGCCGCCAAGGTAGCCCTAATTTCTGCCTTGCAGTTGGAGGTGTCGTCCCTTCGAGGAGAATTGGCAGCTCTCAAAGAAAGGAACTCTGATCGTGACCCTGTACAAACTAGCACACCTGAACCTCAACCCGTACGTGTACAACCGCCTGCTGACAGCGTCAGGTTGTACAGCGCGGCGGCACGTGCACAGTCGTCACAGGTGCGAGCACGGGATAACACATGGGGAGGCCCCAGCCAGCAGGCCAGTACTACACGACCCCAAACAAGTCACCCAGGCACTCAGGTCACGTCGTACTATGAAAACCGGCCCAAGCGCTCTGATCAACTACAGGGAGGATCCCGTACAAAATGTTGCGCTTTGTATGTGGGCAATGTCAATAGTGGGTGCACATGTCCATGGAGCTATGAAGCCGAGACCTCTGGTCGGCGGAGCTTAATGGGCCCCACCACCACACTCCATCATTCACCCCAGTGTCTGGAGATATGTGGATTTTGTAGAAAAAAAAACACATCAGAATCGATCGCCAAATGGTGTGAACGCCGAAATATACCTGTCATCAAGTGCTCCGTGTCTGAGACAAAGTACTTCGGGTTGGCCTTTGCTCACGTAATTCTGCCAATACAACACAAAGCTACTGTTCTGGAACCGGAATTCTGGCCTTCAAACGTCAGAGTTCGAGAATGGCGCTTCAAGGCTGACAGTGTAGCAACTGGTCGAGCTGCAGAGGAGCACTAAATGTTCTGTTTAAATCCTCACGCAGCCTCCTTTCAACCCTTAAACCCTCATGCACCTATCTTTCAGCCACGAAATATTTGCCCCACTGTAAATCCCCTACAGCATGAATTAATTAAAAGTAACCTCAAAATAGGATTCCTAAATGTTTGCCATCTTCTCAATAAAAAGCATGAAATTGAAGATTATATTCTTTCCCATAAAGTTGATATAATGATGCTGGCAGAGACTTTCTTAACAACCTCCGTTTCCGATGACATCCTACGCATACAGAATTACACCCTGGTCAGACGTGACAGGCCAACTCATGGCGGAGGCTTAGCAGCATATGTAAGAGATCATCTCCGAGCCCCAATTGTGAAGGCTGACACCCAGGTGGAAATGCTCATGTTAGAGGTCAGTGGGCAGCGTTCCAAGGTTCTCCTTGGTGGTGTGTACCGTCCTCCAGGCACTCCTGTGCAATTCTGGCAAGACTTGACGAATGCACTAGACTCTGTCATCTCCACACTTCCCACGTCACCTCTGGTCCTTGTTGGAGACTTCAATGTCGATGTAAGCTCCCGCGACAGCCCCCAGCTAAACAGCTTGCTGCACCTGTGTAATTCTTTCGACATCAAGAACCAAGTGGACAGTCCTACCAGAATTGGACCCCAAGGCAGCCAAACAACCCTGGCTCTCGCTCTGGTCGGAGACGATCATGTGAACTCTTGTGTAGTAGTACCTTGTACAATCAGTGACCACTTCGCTCTGGCACTTGATTTGCGACTCACAACGTCCTGTACACCGACCGTGCGACGTGGCCGTAACATTGCAAGAATTGATATGGGTCAATTTGCACACCACCTTCTAAATAGCGATCTAGAGAACTTCTGCTTTGCGCGGACAGAAGATGAAATGTGGGATATGTGGCTGGAGAAACTTGTCGCTGCCTTGAACACTCATGCTCCTATCCGTCTACACCGCCCAAGAGCTCCTACCCGGAAATCCTTCCCCTGGAAGACGCCAGCTCTACATGACCTAGTCCAGCGACGTGACGCGGCCCATCGACGGTGGAAAGCATCACCTGCAGACCCGGCACTACGCAATGTCTTCACTTCTGCCCGAGACGAAGCCAAGCGTATGTCACGACATCTCCGAGCCACCTACTTTAGGGACCTTCTTGCTGCTAGTCAGGCCAACGCACGAAAAACCTGGCAGACCATCAACTACCTCAGCGGTCGTAACAAGTCCTCAGTTCCACCAGCCGTCAGTGTCTCACAGCTCAGTGACCAATTCAGCGGTGTTGTGTCAGACCCAACTAGACCACTACGTCTCTCAGCCCCATTGGGTCCCACGAAGAAGGAATGCCTCGAAGAATTTGCTCCAGCAAGTGTGCAAGAGATCGCTAAGCTGCTCTCCAACATCGACGTGCGCAAAGCTGCAGGCAGCGACCAGGTTCCAGCTGCAATCCTCAAACACTGTTCTCCTGTCCTTGCACCGTCCCTCACCATACTAATCAATGCATCTCTGGCTTCTGGTGTTGTTCCTGCATCTCTGAAGATTGCGGATGTTCGTCCCCTCTTCAAGTCAGGCGACAAAGCTGTCGCTAAGAACTATAGACCAATATCGTTATTACCAATAGTTTCCAAAAGTCCTAGAACGGGTAGTCCACACGAGACTCTGTAAGTTCCTCTCCGGAAATTCCTTGTTCCCCGCAAACCAGTTCGCGTATCGCCCACTTCACTCCACAGAAGATGCCCTGACATTGGCTGTAGACAGATACTTGGAGGCAGCGGATCAGCAGCGCCATACAGGTCTTGTACTTGTCGATATGAGCAAGGCCTTCGATAAGGTCAAACACCAAATTTTGTTTACAGATCTATTTCAGCTTGGTATTACCTCAACGGCGCTCAGTTGGTTCATGAGCTACCTAACTGACCGCCAACAGCGAGTCGTCCTGAGCAATGGCCAGTCGTCCGCCCTCTCTCCCTGTGAGTGTGGTGTTCCTCACGGAAGTGTGCTGGGTCCTCTTTTGTTCTCCATCTACACAATGGAAATAGAACAGATCACAGCTCCAGCCCACTCACAGCTGTTTGCTGATGATATCCTGCTAGACGCCATCAGTCAATCCGTCGAATTCTTGAATTTAACCCTCTCCCGTTCAGTCTCCAACCTGGCCAACTTTCTGGAAGAAAGAGGCTTAATACTAAATCCCTCCAAAACCCACGTTCTAGCCCTTCATGCGTCTCGCAGGCAGCCCTTGTTACTTAACATAGAATGCAATGGAAATCCCCTAGCTCAGACCACAAATGCTCAATATCTAGGTCTACATCTCGACACCCAGCTTCGGTGGGAGACTCAAGTTGCAACTATTACACGGAAGACCTCCCAGAAACTGATGGCGCTGCGAGCCATTCGCTCCTGCTTAACTGAGCAACAAGCCCTGCTATTTTACAGATCGTTAACACTACCGGACATGTTGTATGGATCTAATGCCTTCTTCTCGGTTCTCTCTGCGCACCAACGGCATCAGCTTTCGGTCCTCGACAAGCGATGTATCCGCTGCGTTGCCAACCAGCCATTCCCCTCCCACACAGATCCCATCTACACCCGTCTAGGCCTCATCCCCATCATCCAAAACGCCCACTGTAAACTCCGCCTCCTCATGCTTCGTATCCACACCGCCAGAATTAGTAATCTCCTGTCCAAGCGCCTACGTCGCCAGACTGAAGGCGTCACTCGGATCAACGATCCAAATGCGTATGTTGTCCCTGCCACCAGGCGAGTCTCTGGTGACTGTCGGCCGCTCGTTTCTGCTGTTAAATTATGGAACGCCCTGCCCCAAGAGTTCAAGTCCCTCGCCTGCCATAGATCATTCAAGAGACTTTTAAAGGTTTATTTTTATGGTTAGCCAGCATCTAGGATTGGACTTGGAGTCGTGACTCAACTGTGACTCAACTGTGCTTTCTTCTTCTTCCTTTTTCTTTTTTTCCCTTTCTCTTTTTCTTTTTGAGTATTTGCAGTCTGTGTTTTCTGTGTTTTTCTCTCTTTCGTGGAGGCTTGCTTGTTGTATCCTTGGCTCTCGGCCGTTACTTTATCGCCATCATAATATTGGGCACCATTGCCCGTTTGGTCTGCGATACAAAATAAAATTTCAACAACAACAACAACATCATACCGGTCACACGGATTATGTGTGTGTGCGTGCATGCATGCATGCGTGTGTGTGTGTGTGTGTGTGTGTGTGTGTGTGTGTGTGTGTGTGTGTTTATGTGCACTCGTGCAGACGTATTTGTGTGAGCATGCGTTCATGTCGACATCCATTTTCCTACTTCAGAAGTATACCACACTGGACTCTTGAACACGTGAACACCATGCATGCCAACCATCCAGGGTTTCCCGGGACAGTCCAGGGAATAGGGTGTTTGTCCCGGGACAGTCCAGGGATGTCCTCAGCGGCCAAAGTCCAGGGACTGAGATGGAACTTTTGAAATGGAAGTTCTCCTTTTTATGACGCTTTTTCAGGGTTTGGTTGAACTTCTAGATCCGTTGTAAGTAGTGACACGACATGTAGTAGCACGTAGCAGACAAAAATGAAAAATAAAAATACATCTGCTAATGATGCTAATGATGCTAATGATGGATGCGCTAAAAAACTGGTGTCCAGGAAAAACGGTCTAAACCAAGCGAATTCAGCCTCATTGTCCAGAGAACGTAAGCCTCCAGGTTGGCATAAATGCAACATGTGTGTAAAATTGTTTGCTTTTGTCTCCTGGTGTGTGTGTGTGTGTGTGTGTACCTGTGTGTGTGTACCTGTG